GAACAACGTGGAGGGGGGGGGGGGCTGGGGAGGCACGGGAGGACTTTTGCCTCCATTTGTTCTGTAAAGTGGGTGGGTCAAGAAGGGGTTAAAGCGGAGCCTGAGCTCTGATCCTGGTGGGGCCACTGATGACGACTAGGGCCCTCCCAAATTCAGGCCCATTTTGGTCAATTTCTCAGCCTGGAAGGGGAGGGTGTGAAAATTGGTCAATTTCACATCTGAAATCACATGTTGGTGTAACGGGAGGGGGGAGGGGAGTCTGCATTTAGAAAGAAGCCTGTAGTATAGGAGGGTGAAATACTTTCCAGTCCATTACTAACTAAGGAGGATGTTAAATGGCATCTAGTATGGATGAATGGTCTAAAATCAGCAGGCCCATTTAGCCTGCACCCAAGAGTCCTAAAAGAATGGGCCCAGGCGCTCTCCGACGCGTTTCTGTTACGTTTTACTAAATCTTGGAATACTGAGGCAGGAAGCGTGCTGATGTTGTGCCAATATTCAAAGAGAAGCATGATTCAGGTAATTCAAGGCTACTTAGCCCGGCATCAATCCCAGACAAATAACTGAAAGCTGCTATGGGAATCGATTCATACACACTAAACAAGGGCAATACAGTTAGAATCATAGAATTATAGGACTGGAAGGGACCTCGAGAGGTCATCGAGTCCAGCCCCCCGCCCTTAAGGCAGGACCAAGCTCTGTCTACACCATCCCTGACAGATGTCTATCTAACCTGTTCTTAAATATCTCCAGAGAGGGAGATTCCACCACCTCCCTTGGCAATTTATTCCAATATTTGACCACCCTGACAGTTAGGATTTTTTTCCTAATGTCCAATCTAAACCTCCCTTGCTGCACTTTAAGCCCATTACTCCTTGTCCTGTCCTCAGTAACCAAGAGGAACAAATTTTCTCCTTCCTCCTTGTGACACCCTTTTAGATATTTGAAAACCGCTATCATGTCCCCCCTTAATCTTCTTTTTTCCAAACTAAACAAGCCCAGTTCATGAAGCCTGGCTTCATAGGTCATGTTCTCTAGACCTTTAATCATTCTTGTCGCTCTTCTCTGGACCCTTTCCAATTTCTCCACATCTTTCTTGAAATGTGGTGCCCAGAACTGGACACAGTACTCCAGCTGAGGCCTAACTAGTGCAGAGTAGAGCGGCAGAACAACTTCATGAGTTTTGCTTACGACACACCTTCAGAGGGTCCCTTATCCTGCTTTCCAAATGTGGGAGCCAGCTCCATCTCTGGGGCAGCCTGTGCCCCCCCACCCTGGGAGCAGTGGGAAGCCCACACCGGCTGCCCCAGGGATGGAGCTGGCTCCCGTGTTAAGAACACAGGACAAGGGCGCTGCCCAGACCCGAGCTGAGATCAGGGCCAGGCAGGCCTGGCTGCACTTGGAGTCTGGGCGGCACCCGTCCCCAGGGCCTGGATCTCGACCGGGGCCTGGGCAGCACCCAGCCTGCCGGGCCCTGATCTCGGTCAGGGGTGTGATCTAAGCCAAGCCTGCAAAGAGCTGTTGGGATCCCAGGTTACACCCGCCCACTGGACCGGCAGCAAAGGGCTGACAGCTCCAACGAACTGGCCACGAAGAATGGGCTCTGTGCTCTGGCGGGGCAGGACCTCTGCCTTAGTGCCAGCCCCCTGCTCTGCCCACTAGTCCCCACTCCCCTCCAAGAGCCGGCTCTCCCCTGGGCTGTGCTTGGGGCAGTGCTGAGGCGCAGCACTGGGAGGTGTCATCGCGCCCACAGGAACCTGCCCTCCAGACCCTTGTGAATCTCGTCACCTTCCCCCTTTGGCCAATGCTGACATCTCAGCCGGCCTGGGAGACCTCGTCCCTCCTCCAGCACCGCTGCCAGTCACCTGCCCCTCCCCGGGGGTCACCAGGGCCACTTCCTCCACAAGCCCGAACTGCGCTGGGTCCCCGAAAGGCCGGACATCGCGCCCACAGGAACCTGCCCTCCAGACCCTTGTGAATCTCGTCACCTTCCCCCTTTGGCCAATGCTGACATCTCAGCCGGCCTGGGAGACCTCGTCCCTCCTCCAGCACCGCTGCCAGTCACCTGCCCCTCCCCGGGGGTCACCAGGGCCACTTCCTCCACAAGCCCGAACTGCGCTGGGTCCCCGAAAGGCCGGAGCCGACGCTCTCCCTCACCATAGCCAGGTCCCAGGCGCCGCGCTGCAGATTCTCCCCAGGCTCTGTAATTGAAGCCAGACCTCCCCAGGGCTGCGGCGTCCCTCCGCTCCCAGCTCACCTCCGCAGTCAGGATCAGCCTCGCACGCTCCCCGCAGCGGCCCCCGCCTCCCCCACGCACCCCGCGCTCGCCTCCCGGAGCGCTGGGAAAGGAAGCGGAGAAACAACCTGCCAGGAACCGTGGCGCTGCCTGGGCGTGAGCTGCAGCCGGGACGCTGCGTCTTTGCTTGTTGTCTTCCAGCCCGATCAAAGCCAAAGGAGGGGGGTGGGCTGGGGATGAGTAGGGGGCTCCCCGCAGCGGCCCCCGCCTCCCCCACGCACCCCGCGCTCGCCTCCCGGAGCGCTGGGAAAGGAAGCGGAGAAACAACCTGCCAGGAACCGTGGCGCTGCCTGGGCGTGAGCTGCAGCCGGGACGCTGCGTCTTTGCTTGTTGTCTTCCAGCCCGATCAAAGCCAAAGGAGGGGGGTGGGCTGGGGATGAGTAGGGGGCTTGGGTGTCTGCGGCAATTGGGGTTGCATAATGGGGCTGGAGCTGGCAGAGGTCCTGAAGGAATGTTTGGAGGGATCACGTTCCCTGCGTCTGGCATTCCAACCACGCACAGAGGCTGAGTGGACTCGAGGGAGAGTTAACTGTTTGTTTTTCCTGAGCGCGGTCGGAGCTGCCATGTTCCGCCCCCGCCCTGATCCGGTACAGTTCTACGCTCAGTTGCTAAGCTGCCGGCTGGCTGGCTTGGCATTAGCACTGCCGCAGAACCCGAGGGGAAACTGAGGCACAGCACGCTGATGGGACATGCCTAAGGCATCCTGGGGCGTTGGAACCAAGCTCGGAGTTCTTCCTCAGAATTCTCCCACTAGATCCCACATCCCAGTCCGAGACTGGGAACAGAAGCCAGGAGTCCTGACTCAGAGTCGTCCCCCCACCCTTGTTCTAACCACTAGACTCCACTCCCACCCTGGAGCTGGCAATAGAACCCAGGAGTCCTGTCTCTTTGACTCTTCTAACCACTAGCCCCTATTCCCCTCCCTGAGATGGGGACAGAACCCAGGAGCCCTGACTCTTAGCCCCCCTAGCTCTAACCACTAGCCCTTACTCCCTTCCTGGAGGCGGGAAGAGAACACAGGAGTTCTGTGCCTCAGTCTCCCTG